GTGCAATGCTGCTCTCTGGACACAGTGTGACTATCTGGCTTTCAATGTGATGATGTAATCTGGAATTTGTCATCTCGCTGTTGCTTATTTTCCTTCCATTTTTGTTGTTGTTGTAATCATCGATGGCTGGAAGTTCTTTAAACTTCAAACTTCGAAAGCTGTTCGATTTTCATAACAACGAAAATGATTAAAAAGCTGTTCGATTTTCATAAAAACGAAAATGATTAATGTTCGAAGAGGGAGGTGTTGTTATGAAAATGATTAATGTGCAGAAAAACAAACTCGACAACTTTTGCTTCACGGTCACATCGAAATTCTTGTTTGCGAAATTTAAAATTAAAATATTAAAAATATATGTTACCAGAGTCGCCGGGGTGGGCGACCCGGGCGAACTTGCAGGGGGGATGACCTGCCGGGGTACCCGGGCGACACCAAAAAGGGGGTCCGTTTTTTTTTTTTTTTTTTTTTTTTTGGNGTTTTTTTTTTTTTTTTTTTTTTTTTGGCAGTGAGGCAGTTTTGTGCGCACTGAGACGTGCCCAAATCAAATCCAGGGTTATCTTTTGAGTTTGGTGATACCTCACCAAAGGATGTCTATGGGGTATAAGGGGGGTTCGAAAGGGCTCGAAGGGGTTCAAAGGGGGCTAACGGGGTATGAATCCGTATGATATAATTTTGTATTTTATTTTTATTTGTATGTTCGGATTCCATATCGGATTTTGTGGTCACCCTCAGGCAAAAGATGTTTGATTTGCAATTCTACCTGCGCCCTTGACCGGGAGGGACTTTGCCCAGACCTGCCCTGGCCGGGACACCCAGGCCACCCGGGCCAATCTGAGGCATCCTGGGCCACCCGGGCAGTAGAATTAAAAATAAATTTAAATAATAAAAACTTTTTATTTTATTTTATTTATTTATTTTTTATTTTTTTTTCATTTTTGTCCCGGCCAGCCAAGGGATCCCGTAGCAACAAAATGATTATGTTTGTTTGAATTTCAATGCTGTTATTTGTTTCTTTGATCGATGGAAGTTCTTCAAACGTATGATAAGCTGGAGGGTGCCGTTGTTATGGTCTCTCCTATGCAGACGAAGTACTACGGCGGGAGTCGTGAAAAGATGTTAGAGACCATGCAAGGGATCGGGGCGCAGGGGTGCGAGTTTCTCGTAGCAGGCCGCGTTGTTAGTGGTAATTTCCAGGTAAGCAATGCTGCAGGCAGCCCCGTAGGTAACCCACCGCCACCCACCACCACCCACAACCAGCAAGCAATGACAGAAGTGTGTGACGTCTCTGCAGAGAGGAAAGAGATGAAATAAGAACAATCTTGGCAAGGTGTACTTCTCACAAGTATAACAACATTGTAAAGATATGGACATCGCGCATACCACAGACCTTCTCCCTCCGTACTCCTCAGTCTGTATGTGAGCAATCGCTCACCATTCTTAAAGCACCAGTACATGTGGGCACCTGGGCCGCGGGCCTGACACCTCGAAGTCTGGAAGCGCAAAACGAAAACGTGACCGCCGATCCAATCTATGAACAGCAGGCCCAGTGTTTGACGTTTCAGCCTCGTTTTTTCTTGTGGCGACAAGTTTCGGACTGCGAGGCTGGGGCCGTAGTGGTTTAAGCACCTGCTATCTTTAGTGTAACTCGTCCGCACTCCAAGTTCAATGGGCCCGTCCACACTTCGAGTTCCTGAATCCCTGCCTCAAGAGCAGGAACCAGGCCGTAAAAGGTGTCTAGATACTAATCCTCCCGGTGGCAGGATCTAGACCTTGAGCGCCGCATGTCCTTCGGGAACAAAAAAAAAAAAGAGAGTCAAAATAAAACAGTTAAAACACACACACACAAAAAAAAAAAAGTAAAATAGCAAGGGTGTGCAGCAGAGTGGGGGGGATATGGAAGTACTGCCCAGGATCATGAAGTGCCAGTGCTCGGTACTTCATCTACGTTTCGAACTTGTGATCTATTTGTATCGACAGTTGGTACCATGTGAAAACCTCTTCTTGTCCTGCGGGAGGGTAGTTTTTGAACCTGGGGGTAGTCTGTGCATTGGGCAAGCTACCGTCTTTCCCCAAATACAACGTACAGACGGTCATTATATAGCTGTATTTGGGGCAATTTTCTGCCTACATTCAGTGATCATTACCGTATGTTATATTTGGGGGAGAACAATGTCCATGGATGGGCCTTTTCTCAGAAGAGCCGCAGTTGCTTCCGTAATGAACAGCATGATTGAAATAATGTAATAAATTTTTGGATTGAAGAGCGGTGACCTTTGGGGATCAGATGAGGTATTCACTCATCCCGCTGATGTTGAAGTTTTTTTTCATAGTCAATTCAAAATGAATGATCTCAAATAATTTCTCGATCGTAAAAATGAATTCCAAAATTTTTGAATATCGCATGGTAACCGCAGACCCGGACACCAGACACTTCCTGACTGTGTTCTGGACCAGTGTCTGGACCGGTCCGGACTGTCTGGTGATCCGGACATCACCGGACACCGGACATCACCGGACACCGGACAGTCC